CTTATATACTGGAAGCAGCCCACATCCCTAAAACAGCTACTCAGCTGCTCCAGTAGATTCCACCATGAAGTTAATTACCAATCTCACCATGGGGAATAATTACATCCAACTGCTCAGCCACTCAACCAGGCCCAGCCAAGCTGACATGCAACCTTAACTATCACAGGCATCATATTAAAGCTTATCAAATTACACCCCACCAGTGTGAAAGAGCTGTACCAGGCATATATACAAGTGATATATGTGTATGCATGTCTATTCCTCAGAGGAATCCTAAAGTGTAGGTACTCTTGTTATCCTCAGTTTATGGACAAGGAAACCAAGAGAGGTTAAATAACTTGCTCAGGAGTGGAGGATTATTAAACAGAAATGGAATTGATATCAAGTTGTCTAACTGCAGAGTCCTTGTTCTCAATCCACCTGTTGTCAGCCTCTCAGTAGACAAATGACATCAAAGGGAGACTGTCTTAGTGCACTATTTCCAGTACCTGTGTTATTTGTTTGTTTGTAATTTTTATTGTGATTTGGGTGAAAGTTTACAGAGCAAATTGGTTTTCCATTCAACGATTCATACACATTTTAATTCATGACACTGACTGCAATCCCCATAATGTAACAGCACCTCTTCCCACTCCCTATGTTTACCATTCCCATTCATCCCTCTTTCCTACCTCTACCTGCCTTTTGATCTTTATCCTTGGGCAAATCCTGCCCTGTTGATCTTGTATAGTTGGTTATTCTAAGAAGTATGTACTTCCCTGGTATTACTGCTCATTGTATTTTTGTTGTTGTTATGTGCCATTGAGTCAAGCCCTACTCATAGTGACCCCTCCTTGGGTTCCCAAGGCAGTATCACTACGGAAGTAGATTGCCCGACCTTCCTTCCGAGGGGTGGCTGGTGGGTTTGAACCACCAGCCTTCCGGTTAGCAGTCAAGTGCCTTAGGCACTATGCTACCAGAGCTCCCACTCATCATATAGGTCTATCTATTTTTTGCCTGAAAGTGAACCACGAGGGTGAGTTCAGTGCCAGGCTTGAAGAGTGTCTAAGGGCCAAAATCTCAGGGGTTCCACCAGTCTCTATCAGACCAGTAAGCCTGGTCTTTATTGTTATGTGGGGTTTTGTTCCACATTTTTCTCCCACCCTATCTAGGACCTCCTATTGTGATCCCTTTCAGCATTAGTAGCCATCTAGTTCTTCTGGTCTCAGAATCATGGACATTGGGGTTTACTTGGCCCACTAGGCCTTTGGACTAATTGTTTCCATGTATCTTTGTTTTTCGTCACTCTTCTTTGCACTGAATTGGAGAGAGACCAATAGCTGCAGCACTTGTGTTTTCTTCTGTACAAAAAAAAAAAAAAAAAAAATTCCACTTTGATGGGAACCAAAAAAAAAAAAATAAGACTATGGTGTCATAAAGAGAAATAAAGCCTTGATACAACATGGATGAATCTTGCAAATATTCTGAGTGAAATAAGCCAATCATAAAAAAAGATATTGTATGACCAGCCACTCCTCGGAAGGAAGGTTGGGCAATCCTACTTCCGTAGTGATACTGCCTCGGAAACCCAAGGAGGGGTCGCTATGAGTCGGGGCCAACTTGACGGCAAACAACAACAACAACAACAACAACAACATGATCTTTCTTATATGAAATAATAAGGATAGACAAATGTATAGACCAAAGTTTGTTAGGTACCAAGACTGGAAGGGAGAGGGGCAGTCATTGCTTAGGAAGCAGTGGATATTTGGCAACAGTTATGGGGGACAGTTGCACAATGTGATTAATAAGATTGATATCACTAAATTGTACACCTGAAAGATATTAAATTGACAAATGTTGTGTGATACATACTTTTACAACATTTAAAATAAAACATTTTTAGAAAAAAAAATATGTATGTAATGTAGTTCTCATTTACATCTCTATGATTTATTGGTTTTCCACACTTTGGGCTAGTTTGCTTCTATGAAATTTCTGTTCACTGCCTCCACACGTTTTGGGTGGAAACTAAAAGTTTTCCTAACTTATTTGTAACAGTTCTTGAATTTTTTTTTATATATTTGAATGTAAATGAAGGTTCTGTGGTTAAAAAGCAATGGAAATCAGCCCTGTATGATTCCAGCAAATAGAGAATTTATGGGTCTGGGATTGGATGGCGAAAGAAGGGAAGGAGTTGCTAAACAAGGGACACCCAGGAAAACCTCATCTGGGAAGCTCCAAGGAGCAAGGGAACAGGAACTAATGGGCAATAAACAGAAAGCAGCACCTGCCAGTGCAGAGCCTCTTGTTTCTCAGCTCAAGGTTCAAATTTTAGGGGCCATAGGGCAACTGGACTGGGTTCCATCCTCAGGCTACCTATTGCTAAAGAGGGACATGGCAGCTGCACGGACCAGCCCACCAGGATAGAATGCAGACAGGGAGGCAGCACCATCCAAAGGGGAAATTAATACACACAACAAAGACTGGGCAGGGGTGCTGGAAACTTTGCAGATATCCACAGCAGGCATCTCTCACGGGGCATAAACATATTCTTCAATTTGTCATTTGCCTTCAGTATCCATCATGATAATTCTCTATATCTACCTTTAAAATTTTTCATGTAGTCATATCTCTTTATCTTTTCAACTGAGATTGATTTCCATTGCTTATTAACTACACAGGTGGCACAAACTGCTGTTTTTACATGGAAGCTTCAAACTCTTCTAGAATATATTTGGTTTGTCCTTGTCCTACCTTTCCAAAGGATTGGGGCCTGCTCCCTACTTCTCTCATAGACACCAAGGCCTGTGTCTGACTATACCTTTTACTTGTCTAGTCTTGCTGAGAAAAACCTATTCTCTTGTCCTGTGGACATCTTCTATGAAGCCCAAGGCTGTGTGGACTTGCAGTTCCTGAGACTGCACTTACTGTTCCACGGTAGCCTCTCCCATCTCCCCTGCAGCCACCTACCATGACACTGGGCCCCTTCAGGGTCCGACTGGGTCAACTCAGCCCCTGCAGCCCCAGATCCAGCACAGATCCTGGGCAGGCCTGAAAAAAGTCATAGTTGGTGGTAAGGACTGCAGATGATACAGCTAACTCTGTGTCTTCCTGTGGATGGTGGTGAAAGGGGTGCTTACAACTCCTTCTCTACTCCTGCTGCAAAAGCTGCTCAAAATGGGGCCACTCACTCAGTGGGTTCCAGGGGATGCCACCAGATCTTCAACTGGGCCAGGAGCCTTGGACTCAACCCGTCTGCAGCCCTGATGCCATCTCCTCCTTCTTACCCCTCATCTGTGGCCTCCCAAACCCACACAACCCTCAGCCCAGAGCTTGTTCTGTCCCAAGGTGAGCTGAGCTACACAAGGCATCAGCTCTGCAGGTGAGTCCCAATGCTCAGCCACCTGAGTGGGGCCTCCAGGTGTCTACACTGCCCAGGGTCACCAGGTATCTTCACAGTCCTGCATGCCTGTGGGATGCAGCACCTCTGATCTGGCTTCCTGCTAGGCAACATCTCCCCAGCCTCTCCTCCTCCCATGGGCTTCATCTCCCTGGTACACCCCAATAGCTCACTATGGGAGCCAGCATCAAAGTCCCCTCAAAGACAGGCCCAGCCAAGAGTGACTGCTGAAATTCTTTATTTGGAGTCAGGGGAAAGTAGCCCAATAGGGAGAGGTTAGAGGATAGTGGAAGGAGGGGGGAGCCGTCCAAGCCCAAGATCCAGTTCTGGGTCTGGCAGCCAGGCAGGGCTGTCTGGAGGTGTTGACTGGGCCTGTTGTGCAGGGTCAGCAAAGAAGGGAAGACATCAGTGCGGTCACTCAAGGTACAAGGAGAGACAGGGCAGATACCAGGCTCAGACAGGTCCCTTCTGTGGCTGGCCCTGGTGGCAAATGTTAGCCTAGAGGGAAAGGTGATCTACATTATCCAATCCTACCTCTCCAACAACTGGGCAGCTGTCATGGACTGAATTGTGATGCCAAGAAGATATGCTGAAGTCCTAACCCCTGTACCTTGTTTGGGGAAAATAAGGCTTTTCTTTGCAGATGTGATCACTTAAGTAAAGGTGGTCATACCAGAGTAGGGTGGGTCCTACCTAACCCTAATCCCTTCTAAATGGTATTTTATAAAAGAGAAGAACAGACAGAGACAGCTACGCACAGGGGGAAGATGCCATGTGAAGAAGCTTCTATAAGCCAAGGAACAGAGGACTGCCAGCAGAAATGAGAAGCTTGGAGCAATTCCTCCCTCAGAGCCTCAGAAAGAATCCACATGCTGATACCCTGATTTGGACTCACAGTCTCTAGAACTATGAGACAATAAACATCTGTTCTTTAAAGCTATCCACTTTGTGGTATTTTATTAGGGTAGCACTGGGGACACTAAGACAGCAGGTCACTGAATTTCTTTCAAGAGATGTGTTCCTAGTATATGTGTTGGTGGGGGAGGGATGTGAGAGAGATTAAACCAAGAATACAAACTCCCAGCTAACATCAAGGGGCTGAGGAGGATGGTGTGTCACACACCTGGGGGAACAAGAGCTCCAAGAAGGAGCCTTACACCACTAGCAAGGTCATGGGGGGTGGCAGTTTAATTAGGTAAAAGAAGGGATCCTGAGTGTCCTGGGAATTACACTGGGGGACAGACTTCCCAGGGCAATGCCCAGAAGCTTGAGCTAACAAACAGGGCAGAGCTAGCCACTTCCAGGAGAGGTGATGGGTGCCTCTCCTGCTCCCATGGGGCCGGTGGGATGCCAAAACACATGGCTTCTGAACCCTGTGATCCCAACATCCTCCAGAAATACCCACTTACCCTATTGACTTTCAGGAGTGCAGCTCTCTGTGGGAACAAAAAAAAAACAGCATGAGAAGATGTTTGGACAAGGCAGGGCCTGACCCCATTGCAGTCCCCAGGTAAGAGATGCCTAGCCCTGTGTCTGTGTAGCACTTGGTAACTAATAGAGTGAATCAAAACATAGCACTTTCTCCCCAGGGACATGGAAACACAGAGCCACCCATTACCCATCTGGGCCGGAATGAAGATGTTCTCTTGTGGGAACCCTTTTTGCACAATGAATTTCCTAAATTCTTCCAGGGCTTCCAAGTTCAAGTCAAGGTTCTTGCCTGCAGGTGAGATGAAGAGGAGAAACCCAGATTTGAGGGCCTGCAAAGTCTCCAACAGAGATGTCACCTCCCTGTATGGCAGGGATAGGGGTAGACAGACTCTGGAGGGGAGAACAAATCCCAACAGGAAGCCTGAAGTGCAGGGACTGGATTGGGGACAAGACGACATGTCACAACCAGCCAAGCAGGCCCCAGGACAGGACTAGCAGCAAAGACCCTGAACCACAGAGCAGCCTCCAAAGCTAACTCTCAAGATCCTGGTCTTGACCTGGGAGGACCTTCCTGGAGGAGCTGTACAACCACTGCCTCCCAACCCAACACCATTGGAACAAACCAGTCCTGAGGGTCCGTCCTCTATGATGACCCAGCCCCAGGCCCAGAGACACTACCCAGAAATGTGCTTTGCAGCCACAGGTGTAAGAGTCCCCTTCATGAGCCTGTCCCCCGACAGACCTACCCTGCTCACTGGTACCCCCACCCAGGTTGCCACCCAACCCATGCTGGAAACTCAGCTGGAGAGCCCTGGGCCCCAGTGCACCAGGAAGCAGCGTTAATTTCGGGGCCACATTCCCTGGAACCAGCACATGACTGACACTGGGCTGCCGGCTCCCTGCTGCAGAGATGGAGGCACAGGCCAGGGAGCAAGAGCACAGGGGCTGTGGGAGTTGGCAGCTCCTCACCCAAGAGCTTTCCCATGTGGAAGGATTTCCCATCACGCTTGGCTTTGCAGTAAACAATGCAGTGGTCCTTCCCTGGCAGCTCCTGGAAGTACATGTGCTTCTTGCCGGCATCTGCAGTCACAGAGGAAATAAACGGTCTTTAATGTCTTTATTCCTAGAGGAAACACTTGGAGCACTTAAGGAACAATGTAGAAGGTTCCAAATTCTAGGCCATCCTAGCTGTACAAAGTGCCCTCCAAAGCTCCCCAACCTGATCAGAGGATAGAGTCTTGCTGTTCCCCACAGCCATGGGCCCCAAGCTCTGGGAGACAGCCTCCTCTTGAGGGAAGAGTCCCCACCCACTCATGGAAACAAGAGAGGGGTGTCAGGGCACTGGACGTCAGAAGGTGGAGCTCAGCCATCTCAGCTCAGGACAGCTGGACCCTGTGCCCCCTCCAGCTATGCTTCCATCCCTCCCTGATCCTTAACCCCCTGTCTCTGTCAGGAGAACCACTAAAACCACCAGAAAGGGAAGGTGAGCTGCTACCCATGAACCTTCCCCACCTGGTGTCTGTTAGGTCAATGTATACTGGGGGAGCAAGACTCTCGGCAGGAGGAGTTTAGTATCTCCTGGAGTTTGAACAGGGCAGGAAGGCTGCCCCAGGCACTGTCTGGGTGCTGTTGTCCCAGGCTGCAGATGGGCCTAGGAGAATAGGAGACTTACGGGAGCTATATTTGCCAGGCTCCCCCATTCTCTCCATCACAATTCTTTTCTCATGGCACTGGCCATTCTTTCTGGAAAACAAAAGTTACCACACCTAAGCCTGTGCTTTAGCTCACCTGGACCAGGTGTCCCTCTTCTCAGGAGTCCCCACAATTTCATTGCCACTCCTTCCTGAGCATTAGGGAGCCTCTTGGGATCTTTCTCCAAAAGCTAAGTGGCTATTTATTTTACCCACATGCAAAAATGCAAATTTTTGATAGGCAGTGGAGCAGCCCATGAGTCTGCTTAGGGAGACAGACTCACAGGAGGGTGAATGAGGCCTCCAGGTCTCCTCCTTTCAGAGCAGTCACTATCAGAGGAGACACTTTCTTGGGGCTGTTTTTCCAGATCAGGTCCTTGTCAGTCACCATGGCCTTCACGTACCAAGTACCTGTGATCTGGAGACAGGGAAAGGAGTGGGGAGAGCAGGGGACCGTGAGCATGATCCCATGCCATGGCACACCCAACCTGTACCCCAACTGCACACAGACCTGCTGCCATAACTGGACTCCCAGCACTGACTGCAGCCCCAAAGATATGCTGGATACCATACATGCACATCCTGGGCTCGGCCAGCATAAACCCAGTACACAGTCCTGGTGTGTCTGATTCCTACAAATCAAGACTGGGCAAGGCCTAGCTTCTATGAGTCCACATGCCAGAGGATCCTGAAATGCCTTGGGGAAGGAGTACAAGGATGTCAGTTTATCAGAGTCACTGAGCCAAGCATGCTTCCCCCTCTACAAGAAGAAGCAGGTCTAGGGACCTAAGAGATGAATCCTCCTGCTCCCTCCAGCCACTCCCTGACAGCAGCCTAGTGCCCTAAATAGTATCTAACCTCAGCCTTAAATAGCAGCTTCTATAGTGTGGTGGTTCCTCAAAAAATTAAACACAGTGTTACCATTATGGCTCAGCAATCCCACTCCTGGGTATGTACGCAAAAAACTTGAGAGCAGGACTCAGAAATTGTGCACCAATGTTAATAACAGCACAATTCTCAACAGCCAAAAGGTGGAAACAACCCAACTGTCTATCAACAGATGAATGGATAGACAAAATGTGGTCCATCCATACAATGGAATAATACTCAGCCATAAAGAGAAGTCAAATCCTCATACATGCTACAACATAGATGAACCTTGAAAACATGATACTGAGTGAAAGAAGCCAAACCCAAAAGGGCAAATGTTACAGGAACCCACTTACAGAAAATATCTAGAATAAGCCAGTGGATTGAGATAGAAATCAGTGGTTACCACAGGCTGGGGGTGGGGGTGGGGTGGAATGAAGAGCTTTTAAAAAATGTTCTCCTGCAGCAGGATCCCTGACCTCAGGCAGCAGTCATGGCCTTTCCTCAGCACCACCCCCACCTCCATCTGCGCCTCACATTCTGCTCCTCCCAGGCAAAGGGCAGGAGGTCCTGGGCCTGCAGGATGGTGGTCAGGCTAAGCATGACAGTCAGGAACAGGGTCTGCATCCTCAGGGATCTGTATTCACAGTGCTGCAGCTCACCAGGTGCTTTGATGAGGCTGCATGACTCCCTGCCCAGTTGCCCTTTATATCCCTTGGCTCCTGAGTCTTGAGCACTTGGCACAGAAGGCTGATCACATCCCTCCCCCCTCAGTCTCTGCTAATTCTCCATTGCGGAATATGGAATGTTGTTACTGTTGGAGTCTGATGAATAACAAATACTATCCCAATAACAAAAGAAGCTGAATGTTGGCAGTATTTGCACCACCCAAAGGTGCCCACTCACTGATAAGCCTATCTGGAGGGAGGGTTTTATCATCATAAGAGGGTGGGCACTTGGCGCTGAGAGCCACAGAGGAAGAGTGAACTGGAGCCGTCACATTCTTTCCCAGCTCTGCCACATTTTTCCCAACCCCGTGCTTTCAATGGCACTATGGCTTAAGAATGTCTGCAAGTTTTCAGAACCAGAGGTCTCACAAGTCTACTTACCAAGAAAGGAATTAGGCTTTAGAACTGGAAGAGAGGCATTTGCAATCAGCTGAATTCTGCACTGAATACCTGTTTACTTAACCTGTTAAGGTTAGGGCTCCAAAGAGCTCTTACCTCCTCCAGGTGACACCTTGCACCCGCTATTCCTATTCCTGAGAAATACCACCCTAGATCTTCCTGTGGAGTCAGGGCATTATTTTATGTCTCAGGCTCAGTTTGAAAATGTCCCCTCAGAGAGACCTTTCAAGATAACACCTCGGAATAATATTGTTTCCCTCACCCCATTTCAATCTGTATGATTGATTATCTTGTTTATTTTGTTCTGTATGTGTACATGTGTCCATTGACCATCTCCTCTGTCAGAATCTAAGCTCCCTGTGAGTGAGGAGTTGGTTCCTGGGATTCATAAGTTTATCATCACTGTAAGGAAGAATTCCAGCCATATGTTAGGTGATCATTAAGTATGTATGCACTGAAAGAGTAAATGAAGCTCTCTAATCCCTTGAAACCTCAGATGATTCTCTCCAAAGGGACTAATAAATTCTACTGCTTGGATTACTGTGAGTATATGTTGAAATAACATGAAAAGGATTGTTGTGAGGACATTGAGATAATGTGTGTAGAATTATTTTGAGGATACGTGAAGATAACATGTGAAGTCTGTAAGATTCCTTGACATGTACAAGGCTCAATATGCATGGGTTTTCTCCCCTACAGCCTTCAGAGAATGGGATTCAGTGACCAGGCTGCTTCACAGTCCTGTCAACCAACACATATGTGTGCAACTCCCTTAATCTCTCTTGCCTCTAGAACCTCAACTTCCCAAAGTGCTCTCACCTCCCTCACCCTTTGATCCCTCCCATAGGCCCCCAAAAGCAGGCCTTGCATCCCATTCCTTTTTGACTAATTGGCAAAGTGAGGCACCAAGAGGCCACATGCTCATCTGTAAGCTCTGCTGGTCCCAAACCCAGCTGCCCCCTGAGCAAGGTCTCCCTCACTGACTCCTATAGTTTCCTGAGTTTGAGTTATCTACCCGAAGACCCAGGGCTGAACCAGTGTGAATCTTATGCTGGATGTCTCACAATGCATCTTTGTGCCTCTCTGGCCCAAGACGGGACACTCCCAAGCCCTGTCTAAATCATAATAATCAGCACCCTCTAATAATCCCTGGGAGAGCATACTGAAGGTGCCAGCTTGATCCAGTAACTGCCCTCCAGTGAAGGTGCATCTAAGCAGAGAGACTTGCCCTCTCTGGGTTGGGGAAGGAAGGACCAGTGCCATTTTAGGGCCAGAAAAATGAACATGGCAAAGTTGTTCCTGTTCTCTATTCTTGTTGACTACACCCCAAAGAGCTTATATTTCACATATGAGTCACTGATTTAAGTACCTTAAGACATGAGTGCATTTAATTCAGTCCTTAAAAAAAAGATGAAAGAACAACATGTACAGTTCATTGACAGAACAATGAACTGAATGAAAATGAAAATGTATCATTTCAAAATTGGTGGGACACGACTAAAGCCATGCTGAGAGGGAATTTTACAGCACTAAATGTATAAATTATAAAAGAGAATATGTCTCAAATTAATAATGTAACACCACAAGAACCTAGGGAAAAAAGAGCAAAATGAACTCAATGCAAGAAGAAGAAACGAAATCATAAAGATAAGAACAAAAATCAGTGAAATTAAAAACAAAAAAAGCAAAGTCAGTAAGCAAAGAGCTGGTTAAACACTGCCCAGTCCTGTGCCATCCTCACAATCTTTGCTATGCTTGAGTTCATCATTGCAACCACTGTGTCAATCCATTTCATTAAGGGTCTTTCCCTTTTTCACTAACCCTCCATTTCACCAAACATGATATCCTTCTCCAGGGACTAGTCCCTTCTGACATTTTTAAAGAGTCACTCTAAGTCAGAATATACTCAATGGCAATGGGTTTGTAAATTATCAATATCAGGAATGAAATAGAATCTACCATTACAGACCTACCAAAAAAAAAAAAAGTCGGATTCAACTCATAATGACCCCTCCTTGGGTTTCCGAGGCGGTCTCACTTCAGAAGTAGATTACCCAACCTTCCTTCGGAGGAGTGGCTGGTGGGTTTGGACCACCAGCCTTCTGGCTAGCAGTCAAATGCCTTAGGCACTACAGACTTCAAAATAATAATAATGGAATATTATCAAAAAAACAATATACAAATTTGACAACTTTGAGGAAATGTACCACATTCTTGAAAAACAAAAGCTATAACAACTCACTCAATATAAATAGATAATTTAAATAGCCTTATAACTATTAAGGAAATTTAATTCATAATTTTTAAAACTCCAGCCCTAAAAGTTCTCACTAACAAACAATTAAAGAAAAATTAACAGCAATTCTACATAATCTCTTCAGAAATTAGAAGAGGAAGAAACACTTCCCAATTCATTTTATGAAGTATTAAATTACTCTGACACCAAAACCAGACAAAGAAGATATAAAAAAAGAAAATTATAGCTCAATATTCCCCATTAATATACATGGAAATCCTTTAAAATATTAGCAAATTATATATAAGAAGAATTATATACCATGACCAAGTGAGGTTTATTCCAGGGCTGTAAGGCTGGTTCAATATTTAAAAATCCATCAAAATAATCCACCATATTAAAAGGTTAAAGATGAAAAATCACATGATTATATCAACTGATGCAAAAAAAAAAAAAAGCATCTGAAAAAATCCAGCACCCTTTCATGATAAAACTTTCACCAAAAAAAAAAAAAGGAATAGAAGGAACTTTCTCTACTTGATAAAGAGCATCTATTAAAAAAACAAAAAACCTGCAGCTCAATGGATGGGTGAAACATCTTATAACATGGAAGAAGCTAGAGGACATTCAAAACAAAACCAAAACCAAACTCACTTCCATCGAGTCATCTGACTCATAGCGATCCCTCCTCCTTGGGTCTCTGAGGTGGTATCTCTACGGAAGTAGATTGCCCAGTCTTCCTTCTGAGGAGTGGCTGGTGAGTTTGAACCCCAGCCTTCTGGTTAGCAATCAAATGCCTTAGGCACTATGCCACCAGAGCTCCCTTGAGGGCATTATGCTGAGTGAAATAAGTCAATCACAAAAGAACACCATTATATGAAACTGCAAAAAGTCAAGAAAAAAAAGAAACATTCTTTGAAGTTTACCACGGGTAAGAGGGTAAGGGAGGATAAATCACTAACTAGAAAGTAGACGCATAGTAACTTGGGTGAAAAGAAAGGCAACATACAATAATGGGGGGGTCAGCACAAAATGATCAAGGCAAAGAAAGACATTAGGAGGAGCAGAAAAAGTTAAAGACAACAGAGGTAGATACTATTACATATCCAATCATGCAATGACACTAATGACAATAATCTATGAGTGGATACAGAGATAGACATTCAAGCTGAAAAGGGGTAGGAAAGCCAATGGGACTACACTCACAAATGCATATAGGTTTGATGGAGGATATTTCTACATATGTGTTTACATGTGCTACACATATATCCATAAATATAGTAGACCACACAGGGGCAAAGTTATGAAAGCTTCTTGTTGTTGTTATGTTGTTGTTAAGTGCCGTCGAGTCGTTTCCGACTCATAGCGACCCCATGCACAGCAGAACGAAACACTGCCCGATTCCACGCCAGCCCCACAATCCATGCTATACTCAAGCCCATCATCGCAGCCACTGTATCAATCCATCTCCCTGAAGGCCTCCCCCTCTTTCGTCGACCCTCCACCCTACCAAGCATGACATCCTTCTCCAGGGAATGGTCCCTTCTTACAAAATGACCAAAATAGGTGAGACGAAGTCTGGCCATTCTTGCTTCCAAGGAGCATTCTGGCTGCACTTCCTCCAGGACAGATCTGTTAGTTCTTTTAGCAGTCCACGGTACTTTCAGCATTCTTCGCCAGCACCACAACTCAAAAGCATCAACTCTTCTTCGGTCTTCCCTATTCATTGTCCAGCTCTCACATGCATACCAGGCGATTGGAAATATCATGGCTTGTGTCAGGTGCACCTTAGTCCTCAAGGAGATATCCTTGTTCCTCAGCACTTGAAACAGTTCCTTCGCAGTTGACTTCCCCAATGCTACACGTCGTCTAATGTCCTGACTGCTGCTTCCGTTGGCATCGATTGTAGAACCATGAAAGCTTCTTAGCCATAACCAAATACCTTGAAGGAACAAGTCTCTGGGCCTAGCAGCTCAGGACCCTTGATAGTCTCAGGGGATATCATGGTCAATTGCACAACATAGTTCACAAAGACAATATTCTACACCCTACTTTGGTGAGTAGTGACTTATGAGCAGACATCTAAGGTACAACTATTGATCTCTCCCATCTGAGGCAAAGCAGTGTGAAAATCAAAGATGCAAGGAAACAATTAGTCCAAAGGACTAATGGACCAAGTAAACCCCAGCATCCATGATCCTAAGACCAGAAGAACTAGATCAGTACCAACACTGACTGTTCTGAAAGGGAATCACAATAGGAAG